AGCCTGCTGAGGCAACGAGAAATAGCGAGGAGCTTCCCAGATGCCCCGAAAGGCGAACGACGCGCGCGAACATCTTCCCTCCTCATCCTACAACTCCTTCTCCTCCTAGTGCTCTTCCTCCTCCTCCTCCTCTTCCTCCTCCTCCTCCTCGAGCGTGCCCACGGCGGTCCGTCCTGTCCAAGCAGGCTCACCTCGCAGCCAGCCTGGCCACCTGGCGGTGGGCCAACCTGACCGCGGCGGCGAGAGGCCTATCCGAGGGCGGTTCTTGAGCTGCACGATGAATGTTACCGGCATTTTCGAAAAAACGTCCAAGTTCAACACCTAGAAGATGGCGCAAGAGCGCGCCCAGCGCCCCCAATTTCAGGGGGCAGGCCGCGGTTTGCAAATGTGGACGTTTTTTTCGAAACGACTCGCACTCCACCGCGTCGACCGCCCCGAACTTTGAAATTGGGGCCGGGGAGTTGGACCCGCGTCAACGCGCAGTCGAGATGAGCAATTTTTCCGGAAACCACGGTATGCAGAGCATGCGCACACACCACATGAAGAGAAACTTGACAGGATGGCCGGATGAGGGCGCGACGAGCCATCGGGCACCGTTGGGGCGGGGAGCGGCGGGCCATCGCACTCTGACCGGGGAGGAGGGGGGACAGGACCGGAGACGAACAAGAGAGCGCTGGGCATCACAGCCAACGAGGCGCCTGCCAGTCCCTTGAAGAGTGGAGGCCGTGGCCCACCCGTCCACGAGAGTTTTAGATCATAGCGAAAGGCCAGGTGGGAGAGGAGGGAGGAGGCAGGAACGGACTTCAGACCAGGAGAAGGGGGCGATGACCTGGAAGCATTGGGGGAACCAGGTCAGGAGCCTTCTGTTGAAGAGTGACTGGGGCTGGTCAGGGAGTGTCTCAGCCGGTACAGGATGGCGCCAATGTCGCCCGCGAAAGCATGTACTAAGCCTTTCCCTTTCGCTTCGAAGAGGGCCCTGAAGCGTCGGGGGAACGGGTCGGACCGAAGCGCGCGCAGCGTACTGCTGGCGGGGCCTCCCCGGAGAATTCTCGAGGATGTCCAGAGCAGAACCAGTTCGGCACCCCCGATCACCCCCGCGCAAATCACGCAGGAGCACAGATCGATGAGGAGGGCGAAGAGGGGCGAGGGAAGGGAGAGGCGACGGAGGACGGCGAAGAGTTACCTCTGGGACGTGGACGGGAAGGCGCGGCCGAAGTCAAGGCAGAAAAAAGCACGAGGGAGGGGGGCAGGGTCCGCTTTCACGCTGGCGCGCCTTCCCAGCGCGTCCAGCACAATAATATCATTGCCAGAAATACGGCGGGGAACAAATCCCCTCTGGGCTTCGTCACGCCCCCCAATCAGAGCCCTGGTCAAAGGGCGGACCGACACCTCCGCAATCACTTTGTTGTCGCACTTTTTCAGGCCGAGCGGGCGAGTCTCCGAGGGGCGACGAGTGCCTTCAGGCAGCCCAGGGAGTCCGCCCCTTTGGGTAGGAACGCTCCACGCACAATGTGATATCCAAAGAGGAGGCTGCTACCATAATGGATCCACCTCATCGATATAAACAAAATCTCGATGCCGCGAGGAGCGATCTTCCGAGCGCATTACGGGGTCCTGTCGGGGCCTGGGGAGCTGCAGGCTTGAACCTCCACGTGTTCCTTGACGCCCATACAAGTGCATGCGCGCGCGTGGGGGGCGGGGGGGGGGCTGCAGTCGACCTGCGGGGTGAACCTGCCCAAATAATACCTCTGGGCCCCCTCGCGGCGGAACTCCTCGGCAGAAATGGTCGGGGCCCAGCGCCGGCCCGGCGATCCCAAAATCGCCGCGAGATCCTGCGCGGCCCCGCCACTATCGGCGCGAACGCCGACAAGAGTCACTCTCCGGTCGGAAGGGGGCCAGAGTCGCGCAAGCCGATTCAAGCGCTTCGAGCGGGCGGCAACGCGGGCAATCGCATTCGGGTTCTGGAGACGCTGATTACTAGCCTGCAGGGGGCGCTGGGCCTTCGCGCAAGAGTGACCCTGGGTAAGAGTGACCTTTGGCGCGCGGCTTTTAGGGGGCCGCGGGGGGGCCAAACTCGGGCGCGCAAGACGCTACTGTCGCATCGCAATCTGTGATCGGGGGACCCCAATGTGCCCCCGCACCAAAGGTCACTCCGGCGAGAGGTCACTCTTACGTGTAGTCGATCCCTGAGACGTGGAGGTGGAGGTCGTCGAAGAGATGGGCAAACGCCTGAGGATCGGAGAAAGAGACGAGATGGGAGTCGCGGCTCAGAATCAGGCGACGCCAGCAGATCTCGCGCGAGCAGCGAAGCCTGCGCGCCAAGCGCCAGTCCTGCCAAAAGACTGCTCCCCCCACGCGGATCCTCGGATTCCTCGCAATATGGGCGCTCGGGCACTTCGAGATCATGAGGCCGCGGGCCCGCCGGCCCGCCTCAATCGCGAGCTTCGCGCAATAATCATGGGCCAGGGCAGGCGAGAGATGCTCAAAAAGGGCCGCGGTAACTTTCTCCATGAAGCCTCGGAACTCCTTGGGTTCGAAAATCTGCTTCGGGAGGGGTTGGCCCCCCGGCGGGGCCGGGGGCCCCGCGCGCGCGGGGGCAGACCAGGGCGTGATCCGAGAGGCCCCGGGCGCCCAGGTTATCAGGGCGTTCGACGACCTCGCCCCCCGACGCGCCTTACGAGAGACGCAGCCAGGCAGCGAGGAGAGGGCCCGACCGATGAAACTGAGGCGGGAGGTTGCGCAAAATAAATGAGAGGGGGACAGAGCTCACATTCGGCGGCCCCTCAGCGCGCGCCTCCAACCGCGATGGGAACCAACCCGCGGATAAGATCATCTCGGGCCTCTCGCAGCACCTCGGAAACCGAGGCCAGCAGCAGCGCCGCCTGAAGGGCCGAGAGGCCGCGTCTGTGAATGCTGAAGTGCTTCGCCCAACACTTCCCATTCAGCGCCCTGGCGCTGGTCAGAAGAGCCATAAGCAACGCTAAGCTAAAGGGACGTAACTGGGGGATCCGCGGGGCGGATGCTGGGGGAGCCACCCGGGGCAATTTCAACTGCGCGGCCCCTTCAAGAAAGAGAGTAAGAACCCTCTAGGCAGAGCCTAGGTAGGGAATGATTGTGCCAGTTCTCGAGAGACGACGCAGGAGCTTCACCTTTCGAAACCCCAACGAATTGGCGTCATCGAAGAGGGCGCGCGCTTCCCAAGCGACGATGCGCGCGCTGATATTGACACATGGCTCGGCCCTCACCTAGCCGTGCCAGAGGGCGCTCAATGCGTCCGGAGCTCCACCGAGGAGCCTCCGCGACGCCGCGCCCGCGATGATGTTGGCCTCTGCGAACTCCAGCTAACCTTTTGGCCCTCCGTCGGGACCGCCTTGACGAGCGGTTGCCAGCCCGCCAGCACCTTGCCCCTGAACTTGTCCGTGAAGACCCTCTTGCTGGGGCATATGCGCGCCATGGTGGCCCGCGCCTTCTTCGTGCCCAGCTCGCGGCGGGCCTGGCAGACAGTCCTGTCGGGGCCCGCGAACAGGGGCGCGAGGCCGCCAGCCGCGCATCGGGTAGAGCACGAGCGCCACGTAGGAGGGGAAAACGGAGATGTCTTGAACGCGCCCAGGACCTGATTGACTGTCCGAACGGCCATGTTTGCGTGGCCTTTGAAGCTGATGGTGCATCGCTTTGCCCAGGGGCCCGTCTCATCGAAACTTCCAATCCTCAGCGGCGACGTCGGAGGTCGCGGGGCCGCTCTGCGAGACCGTTCGCCACCGCCTCTTGGGCGACCAGTTCCTGCGCCCGCGCCACCACGAGGGCCGTGCCCAGCGCCCTGTTGAAGTTGCTGACACCAGGACTCGTACCCTGAGGTGCAGGCCTCGGAAAATAGCGAACACTCATGCCACACTCATCTGTCAACGCCCCCCCCTCCCCCCAATGTTCAAAGTTGGCGGTGGGTCTGATGAGTTGCACCTCGACTGCAGTCTCCCCGCGCGTGCCAACTTTGAGTTCGGGGGGCAAGGGGGGTGTTCACGAATTGTTTCCCTCTACCGTAGCGTCGCTTCAACTTGAACAATGCGGAGCTCTGCTCTGATCTTGGCCAGCTGTGCGCCGATGCCGTCCAGCCTGCGCGTGCGGGGCTTCTGCTCCACCTCGGCATTGTGGACTCTCTGCTCCGTCTGTCTGCTGAGGGTGGCGAAGGACTGGGTGACGTCATTGGCGAACCTCCCGAACGCATTGGTGGCATTCGATTGGACCATATCGATGGAGCGATGCAAGTTGCTCCGAATATCCTCGACATGCGCGCGAAGAGGGGCAGCTCGCTGGTCAACGTACTGCCTGGCCACGGGCGCGGACAACCAAGCATCTGCGGAACCTCTTGAGGACGAGCTGGCCGACCTCCTTCCAAAGTGATAACAAAGGCACTGTTCGGGATGCTTGCAACACCATCCGGAGAACCGCTCACACTGCCGAGGGAGCCATTGGGATTGGATAAGGGGTTGGACCCAGCTGCTGAACCTGCGGGTGACGAAGAGGCAGCGGGGGAGAACGGCGGCACGTTTGTTGTCAGGTTATACCGAGCGTCCGCCACCACGCTCGACTGCCACAGCGCCAGGGCCAGCAATGCCGCGTAGTGGAGTACGCACCTGGGATGATGGGGAACGTCGGCATGTCATCAAACTAGGCTTCAATAGTGGCGAGCCCGTTGGGATCCATCTGCTGCTGCTGCTGCGGTACACCGCCCTTGCCATTCATCACTCGCGGCTATCTGGTGGCTGCACCCAACATAAGGAACGTTTGGTGCGGCCCGCTGGACTACTGAAGGCTCAGACAGCGGGGATCACGTGATGGAAAGCCAAAGCAAGGTGCCCTGCACAGCTGGCTTGAAAATGTTTTACTTGAGCCAAAACGGCTTGAGCCAAAATGGTTACGGGCGTCCTCCTCCTCCTCCTCCTCCGCCTCCCTCTCCTCCCTCATCAGGCAAGCGAGCTGTGGCTCGGGGATGCCCCGCTCTCCTCTTCGAGGACTCGCGACCACCAGTCTGGCACGTCCTTGGTGAGCCAGATCAAGTAAAAGACGACGATGACAGATTCTGCTTTGGCGCGCGGCTGCTTCAGATCTGCCAGCAGGGTACATCTCGCGCAAGCTGTCTCGTCTGAGTGTTCTACGCTATTCTATTTCTCCTCCTCCTCATCCTCCTCCTCATCCTCCTTCTCATCCTTCTTTCAGCATCATCATCACCACCACCACCACGATCCTCATCCTAATCCTCATCCTCATCATCCTCATCCTCATCGTCAGCCTCATCCTCATCCTCATCCTCATCACCACCACCACCATCATCATCAGCATCATCATCATCAGCATCCTCACCATCACCATCACCATCAGCATCATCATCAGCATCATCATCATCGTCGTCATCATGATCATCATCATGACTCCGCTCCTTCCCCTCCGCCTCTTCTCTTCATCAATGTTCCCTTCTCCGCCTCGTCCTCCTCCAAATGCTGCTGCTCCTCCTCCTGCTCCTCCTCCTCCTCCTTCTCTCTCCTCCTCCTCCCCCCTTTCCCTTTCCCCTCCCGAACTCTCCCATCCTCATTCTCCCTGCACGAACTCTGAAAGTCACATACCGTCAACTCTGGAAGATGAATGGGGAACCCCGTCCAGCCAAAGAACGGCAACAATACCAGGGCCGCCTGTCGAGCAACATATTATCGTCCCACTCCGTCGTGCCCGCGTGGCTCTCGACCCGTTGGCGCTAGCTGCATGCATGAAGGCTGACGGCCCGTGGCCAACGCAAAACCGCCTGCCAATAATGTGGCCGTCGAGGTGCCGCTCTGCTCGTAGCTCGAGCTCTCCCGGTAGGTTGCGGCATGGGAGTACAGGTACCCCACCGACGGCAGCAGCACCAGCAAGCCGAGGCCCCAGCAAACCTCCGCATACGCGTACCACTGAGAACTTGTCGCCGTCTTGCTGTCGTGCCACCCGCTCCAGTGGGTAGACAACATATCGAAAATTGATTAAGCGGTCTGGGATACAGTGCCAACTTGGATCATGTTCCATCGATCTCTGAGAACCCCCCCCCACACATTTCAATGTCGGCTTGCATTATGCTGTCCACCGGGACTTTGGGGGCTCGTTTCGTACTCATATTGGCATGTAGGGGGCGGGGATTGTGCGTCGAGGTGGCGTCGAAATGTAGATGCAGCCGCACGCGGTCAGGAACAGCAGATTTCGTCTTCCCACCGTCCCTCCACCCCACACCCTCGTCCACCTCCTGCATCTCCTCCTCCCTCTTCTCCCCTCCCCATCGTTTCTACAAACCCTCCTCTTCCTCGTCACCACCACCAACATATCAATCATCATCATCACCACCACAAACATCACCATCACCATCACGATCACCATCATCATCATCATCATCATCAACATCAGCATCAGCGCCAACATCAGCAGCATCGTCGCCGACATCGTCATCGTCGTCGTCAAAATCACCATTACCAGAAACATCACATCACTCTCCTCTGTGCGTGCTGGAACTATCCTTGAAGTTAAACGCTCCTGAGCAAACAAATAGTTGACACTCACCCATTGCCACCAAGAAACGGCGACGCGATCCAGCCCACACAAAGAAACCCAACACAAACAGCGGCGAAACAACACAATACCTCTACAAATCCGTCCCAACAGTCGGCGAGCATAACACCTACGCGTGCACATCTGTACTATGCGAAGGTATGCGTAGATGTCGTCATTACATACGTTCGCATGCGCGAGTGTGTGTATATGTCTGTGTGTGTGCAAGCATCTTCTTGAACTTCATCTACACACACGCATAACTGGGAGGACACGTACGCATATGCATGTTCACCTATATCTAGAAAGCGCACATTCATGTGTACAAGATAAACGCTTATAAACTATGCGCACACTTTCCAACGCAATGCATTAGACAACGCAACAACATGCACGCGTTACCCAATCCGTGATCCACGCTCCAAGAACGGCCGTGGAACCCCAAGGAAGAAGAAACGACGACGATACATTCCAAAAACACTTGAGACGCTTCCAAACTATAACAGGAAAAGGCAACGACCAGCATCGGGGGCTACTTACCCCCACACCATCACCATAACCACCATCGTCAACACCACCCATATGACTATCCTCATCCTCATCTTATTTATCGTCATCACCTCATCACCTTCACCACCACGATCATCATGACCACCATCATCGTCATTGTCCTTGTTACGTATCATCATCATCATCATCATCATCATCATCATCATCATCATCATCATCATCACCATCATCATGAACATCAGCATCAGCATCATCATCAGCATCAGCATCATTATCATCCTCATCCTCATCCCATCCTCCTTCTCCACTCCTCCTCCTCCTCCTCCTCCTCCTCGTCGTCGTCGTCATCATTATCATAATCATCATCACTCTCATCCCTTTCCTGGACCTCCCGCCCGCCCCCCTCGGACACACTCCCTTCCTCCCTTCCTCCTCCGCTCCTCCCGCTTCTTCTAGTCTGCTTCTTCTCTCCTTCTTCTTCTTCTTCTTTTTCTTTTCATGTTTCGTCTTCTTCTCGCCCTCGCGCGGGCGCTTCCCACGGTGCCTTTCTCCCAGGGTACCCCCAGAACTCCCGCGCCACTCTGCAGCCCCCAAGGCTCTCTGGGCCTCTCGAGGTGTGCCCCCGAGGCTGTGGCACCTCGGGTCAGGGACACCCCCAAGCAGCACGCGTGGGCAGAGACAGTGGCGCGCGAAGTAGCGCAGCGGAGAATATGCATCGCAAGCTCATGGAGGGGGGGGGGAGAAGGATGGATACGGAGTGGAGATGTACATTGATACGTGTGTACATAAATAAATGCGTGCGTAGATCATTAACGCACATGTGTATATACATACACAGACCTACCTGCTTACCGACCTACCTACGTACGTACGCACATGCATACATACAGACAGACAGAAAGACAGACAGAAAGACAGACAGACAGCTGCACGTACGTACATACGTACATACATGCAAGCATGCACACATACATGCATGTATGCATACATACATAACTACATATCCACTGATTGGGCTGTTTTCGAGTGCCACTGAAAGATTTGGCGAAAAATCACAGCCGAATTCGGTAGGCGGCCAGGTTCCCATTTCTGGGTTCCAAATTGGTCTTGGCCAAACTTCGCTGCTCATTTCGGTAAGCGGCCAGGTTCCCAACTTCGCGGCTCTGGGTTCTGGGTTCCAGATTCCGGGTTCCGAATTGGTCTTGGCGAAAATTCGCAGCCCATTTCGGTAAGCAGCTGGATTCCCGGGTTCCCGGTTGGGGGTTCCGGGTTCCCATTTCCGGGTTCCGGATTGGTCTCGGTAGGCGGCTGGGTTCCCGGTTCTGGGTTCCGAGTTCCCGTTTCCGGGTTCGGGATTGGTCTCGGTTCCTGGTGCCATGGCTCGCTATTATATATACACATACACACACATATACATACCAAAAGAAAGGCGAGGGATGGATACGGAGTGAATATGCATATTGATAAATACGTATATGACTATTCGCGTACAACAAGTACACATGTTTGTATATACACATACTATGTCCACTGATTGGGGCCTTCCTCTGGTGCAATTGGAAAAAAGTGCGAAAATTCGCCGCCGATTTATGTATAGGCGACCGGGTTCCTGGGTTCCTGTTTCTGGGCTCCGGGTTCCCGTTGGTGGGTTCCAGATTGGTCTTGGCAAAAATTCGCAACCGAGGTAGGCGGCCAGGTTCCAAGGTTCCCGGTTTGGGGTTCTGAGCTCCTGTTTCTGCGTTCCAAATTGGTCTCGGTGGCGGCTGGAATCTCAATTCTAGGTTCCCGGTTCCCGTTTCCGGATTCGGGATTGGTCTCAATCCCTGGCGCCATGGTTCGCTCTGTATATATATATGTATGTATGTATGTATGTATGTATGTATGTATGTATGTATGTATGTATGTATGTATATATGTATGTATGTATGTATGTATGTATGTATGTATGTATGTATATATATACATATTCCTATTCAAATATTTGTATACGGCCCGGGACGCCGGAAAAAGCGCACCCCCCCCCCAACGAATTTGGCTCTCCCCGGGCGGCCTCCGGGCAACCCTTTAGACGACATGGGAGAACCTCATGAGAACCCGAAGACGACCCCAAGCGTTCTGGCGCGCTCCCGAAACGACTCCAAAGAGCCCCAATACGGTCCACGACGACCACCAAGAAGCCGTCATACCCCCAAAGATCGGTCCGAAACGTCCCAAGAGGCCTCCAAGAGCTATCCCAAGAAGGCCGCAAGAGGCAAAACCCATTGGTTACCTAACAGCGAAGACTGATAGGTTTCTACTGGTGTCAAAAGAGAGCAGCAGATGACTCCACAAAGGGGTCTGGGCGGCATCCGGGGAGCTGTGTCCGAACTCGTGTCCGAACTCGTTTTTCGCAAACAGTCACACACTTCGTGCTCTCCGACCTCCCAGAACTCCATTCCCGGGCCACATTCTGAATGCCCGGAGCCAACTGTAGGCCACTTCGTGCTCTTCGACTTCCCAGAACTCCATTCCCGGGCCACATTTTGGATGCCCGGAGCCAACTGTAGGCCACTTCGTGCTCTTCGACTTCCCAGAACTCCATTCCCGGGCCACATTTTGGATGCCCGGAGCCAACTGTAGGCCACTTCGTGCTCTTCGACTTCCCAGAACTCCATTCCCGGGCCACATTTTGAATGCCCGGAGCCAACTGTAGGCCACTTCGTGCTCTTCGAGTTCCCAGAACTCCATTCCCGGGCCACATTTTGAATGCCCGGAGCCAACTGTAGGCCACTTCGTGTCTTCGAGTTCCCAGAACTCCATTCCTGGGCATGATTTTGAATGCTGTAGGCCACTTCGTGTTCTTCGAGAACAGAATGCTTGAGGCTGAGGCTGATGAGGCTGAGGCTGAGGCTGAGGCTGAGGCAGGCTGAGGCTGAGGCTGAGGCTGAGGCTGAGGCTGAGGCTGAGGCTGAGGCTGAGGCTGAGGCTGAGGCTGAGCAGCTGAGGCTGAGGCTGAGGCTGAGGCTGAGGCTGAGGCAGGCTGAGGCTGAGGCAGGCTGAGGCTGAGGCTGAGGCTGATGCAGGCTGAGGCTGAGGCAGGCTGAGGCTGAGGCCGAGGCTGAAGGCAGACTGAGGCTGAGGCTGAAGCAGGCTGAGGCTGAGGCTGAGGCAGGCTGAGGCTGAGGCAGGCTGAGGCTGAGGCTGAGGCTGATGCTGAGGCAGGCTGAGGCTGAGGCTGAGGCTGATGCAGGGCTGAGGCTGAGGCAGGCTGAGGCTGAGGCCGAGGCTGAAGGCAGACTGAGGCTGAGGCTGAAGCAGGCTGAGGCTGAGGCTGAGGCAGGCTGAGGCTGAGGCTGAGGCAGGCTGATGCTGAGGCAGGCTGAGGCTGAGGCTGAGGCTGATGCAGGCTGAGGCTGAGGCAGGCTGAGGCTGAGGCCGAGGCTGAAGGCAGACTGAGGCTGAGGCTGAAGCAGGCTGAGGCTGAGGCTGAGGCAGGCTGAGGCTGAGGCTGAGGCAGGCTGATGCTGAGGCAGGCTGAGGCTGAGGCTGAGGCTGATGCAGGCTGAGGCTGAGGCAGGCTGAGGCTGAGGCCGAGGCTGAAGGCAGACTGAGGCTGAGGCTGAAGCAGGCTGAGGCTGAGGCTGAGGCAGGCTGAGGCTGAGGCTGAGGGCTGAGCTGAGGCAGGCTGAGGCTGAGGCTGAGGCTGAGCAGGCTGAGGCTGAGGCAGGCTGAGGCTGAGGCCGAGGCTGAAGGCAGACTGAGGCTGAGGCTGAAGCAGGCTGAGGCTGAGGCTGAGGCAGGCTGAGGCTGAGGCTGAGGCTGATGCTGAGGCAGGCTGAGGCTGAGGCTGAGGCTGATGCAGGCTGAGGCTGAGGCAGGCTGAGGCTGAGGCC